TAAATAATGTAACTGAAATGTGTTGTAATTGAATTATTTTGTTGTAGTTTCCTTCATTGCTAAGCGGTGTTTTCACGTGAAATAATCCTGAAGCAAATTTTCTTTTAAATTGTTTTTTTTTTTTTTTTTCCTTTCAGTACATCACTCCCACTTCCAGCTTACTAGCTATCTTGTTTAAAATTTTTTTATTTATTTATTTTTGCCATATAGCTTCTAAAATTCCAAACCAGAACTATAGACAATGTTCCTATGTTGAACCACTTTTTCAAAGTTTATTTGTTCCGGCAGCTCGTTCTGACATGGGATCCAAAGAAGGAGGCTCAGGCCATATGCACAGAGCTAGTGGCTCAGACCGGAGACCTGCAGAAAGAAGTGGTCTGTCTCAGGGACCTCCTCGGCAAGGTCAGCAGCATTTTCGCGTTTCTTTGTATAATCTGTCTAAATTGAGAATCCACTCAGGACAGAGTATGACGGCAGAAGCTTTCGCAGCTCATAACTCAGAAGCGGTGCAGTCTCGTGTAGAGAATTGGAGCGTAGAGGGCAGCCAGCGTGCCCTCTGTGTCAGGCTGGAATCTGACAGTGAATGGAGGCCATGTGCTGAGAGAAGACCCAACCGATGTGGTTTATCTTATCTTTTAACGCTCTTCAGGGAGAGAGAGCCAAGCATTTCTACAGGTCTCCCTAATCACACCGCGGTCGAATTGGTATAGGAAGAAAAACCACGAGGTGGTTAATGCATGAGGAACTCGATGTTCCTTATTGACTGACTTCTTAATTAACTTCTTTATTTAGTCAGCTGCATGTGCAGTAGCTTTCAAAGATTAGACCATCCAAAAAAGCTTAATTACTACAGTAAAAGTAAAGGTTTTTGAATGGTTATTGATATTTTGTGACAGCTAAAAGAATATAGACTCGGATCTCAAATCTCTCTGTGAAGCTCGTTGTTATTCCCTTTTTTTTTTTGAAGCTTCTGGGTTATTCCATTCCTACGTATCTTTTAACTTCCACTTCCAGCATATCTGATTCAGCTTAGACCTTCATTAGCTAAACCAAGTGTTCCAATGTGGAATAGCAAACAGGATTGTAATTCCGAATACCAGGGTGTCTTCAGAAAAGGTTTGAAAATGGCTGACACACTTTGACACAGAGCATAGAGTAATTCTGTCCAGTGGATTTCTGCCCAGTTTCCTCACAATTTGGTCATTTTGTAAGTTTCTCAACCACTAGCTAGCTCTCACCTATCACACAACAGCTACCAAACAGGAGAGGGTGAAGTCTAGCACATGAAGCCAGCTAATTTTTTATTTTTTTTTTTCAGACAGCTGCTCATGCTACTTCTCATACTTGAACTCCTGGGCCTTGGATGGCTGTGGCGTTTTTGAGTTTTGAACTTGCGATCTCTCGGCGATAGGGTGAGCGCTTTTCTGTTGAGCCACTCCATAGCCCAAACTAGACTTTCAGAGGGTGATGTAAAACTGTCATAAAGATGACAAAAGCATTTGCCTGATTGTTGGGAGATGGCTAGTTTGAATCTTGGAGATGCCACAGTCGTTCATGGTTGGGAGAGCATAATTGGTGCTGCTCTTCTAGTGAAAACTATAACATTACCCTCTCCCCTGTTGGTTAGAGGAACACTAGCCAGCTCATCTGTGAGGGCGAGTAGCATCCCCTCCAAGTTCACCTGCCCTATGCTGCTGCGTGAGGAAAAAAGATGGCACCTGGCACTGCTGCTCATGTCTTGGGGAAAGCACATGTTTGTCCTCACCCTGCCTGGCTGGTAGCTGCTGCCTGATCTGGAAGAACTGGCTAGTGGGCGGGAAATGGCAAAGACCAAACTGGGAGAAGAAAACTCATGAAAACAGAAGAAAAGATACTGGCTGAAGGTCGTTTCCTTGTGAGACATAAAGAGCTGCATTCAAAAGCTTGCTCAGCATCTTCTTACCTCGAAGTCAGTGCTTCTGCTGTGAGAAGTCATCTTGTAAAAAATCGTCTTGTAGGATGAGTTGTGACTAAGAACGGCAATAAGCAAAGATTCCAGTGCGCTAAATACTATAAACCTCGGTGCAGCAACTGGAGGGTGAAGGTCCAGTGAGTAACAATGAGTCCACATTTCAGATTCTTAATTCTTAAAGTCACCAGTATGTAAGAAGAAGAGCTGACGAGAAGTATGTTCAGTGTGTCTGTAGTCCACGGTGACTGTTCTGGCACTGTCTGGTGCATTCCAGTCAGTGATGTATGGGATCGTGTCAAAAACAATGGAATGATAAATACAGAGGGATGTAAACAGATTGTAATTCATTATGCAGTACTTTTGGAAAACAGACTGTCTGGTCAAACAAAAATGCCTTGCATAGGACACGTGGCTGTTTATATATTTAAGCTAATTTGGCTAAGTCCATTGCCATTTGCATTGAGAGATGCATTGAGTCAACCATGACAACATTTCACCAACCCTACTAATAAATGTTGATGAAAACATTAGACCAATGCTTGTGACTGACCATTTGAACTTTGTGATGTTCTCCTTTAGTTGGATCCCACTGATTACACCTTCCATCCTCCTCTGCCCAGTTCCCACAGCAGCATGAGGAGACGAGTTATAAAGAAGCTTGCAGTGGCTGTGCTTGGAGCAGGATTGCTGCTACTGTTGTCACAAGCAAGACACTTCAAAGCCTACGTCTGACAACTGTTCTGTTTTCGGTTTTGTTGCCATCAGTGTTTTCCCTTCCTTTTATTTCGTTTGTCGTTATCTCATTTCAGAAAGTTCAAAGTTGGTTTATTATGATGGCTTGCTTTCTGTTGAAAAATTGCAGCTGATCAGAGAGATCACAGGCTTTTCGTTCTGTATAACCGTTTTGCACCACCTCATTAAAATTCTTTCCACTTAACGTTGCAACAATAGATCGACTCAGATCGGTCCTTGCTTCCATAAACTTTATAGGCACTGCTGTGTGGGTGCATGTTTGTGCGTTTTTGTTTTCTGTAATGAAGTAGCGAATGCACATACAAGCTGCTGTCTATGGTGCTGAAATGCCTTTTATTGGTTGACTAAAAATATCTTTGATTTCTCTAATCCATCATCATCATCTTCACACACCTCTCCCTCCATAACCTTTGCCTACTTCTATCTAAAGTTTTATTTTTTGCTTTATTTTAAAATACAGCAAAGCGTCTGTGAGGGAAATTTATTTGCGTGTGTACTTGTAGAGCTCTCTGGTACAAGTCAAGTAACCGCTGAGAATGCTAAAGCTCCTGAGTAAGCAATTTACCAACCTCACCGTGTGTAAAAACAAAGCTAAGCAGAAGAGAGAGGAACATCTCCACAGCGTAGAGTGTTCATGCCCCATCATCGGCATCGGCATTTATAATGTCTGTGTAATCTGCGCCGCGCTTGAGTCTAGCTTCACCATATAGCTTTTCTCATGGCCTTTCTGAGAAAAGCTTTCTGTACTTTCTGTCCACCTGTTCAGCAGTCTCAGTTACTACCAGTACAGCAATGCTTCACCAATAAATCGGTCAGGATGGAGGTATAACGCCAGACGTAATTAGCAACACTGCGTTACCTCATTTTAGCTTAGCGTCTACCATTAGCACCCTGCTACCACAGAGGCAGTATATTGTGCAGTGATGGTGTTGATTGGTTTGTCTGAGTTAGCGGTGGTGCTAACTACGTCCTATTTAACCACAGATTTAGTAAAAACTAATATACTAATTCAGCTTGCATTAGTACTAACTGAACACGTTAACAATCTAAGTAACAAAGCCCAATAATATACGTCATTCATCTGATTAGATGAATCAAGTGTTTCGAGAGTAGAGAAAACACTAAAATGTGCAGAATAGGGGGTACCCCAGGACCAGGGTTGGGAACCTGTGATCTGTGTTGTCTGACATTTTAGGTGTAGTTCTGGATCAGTACGATCCTTTTCAGGAAGTGCGATTCGACAACGTCACCATTTCTGTTTGTCAGTTGCCTTACATTTCTGTTGTTATATGGCCATATCTAAGGGTTTTACAGAAAGAACTCCTACAGCCTGTAAATAGAAGTAAAGTCTGCATGTCTGTAGTACGCCGTGACTGTTCTGGCATTGTCTAAGTGTGAATTCCTGTCGGTGATGTAGGGGGTCCTGTTAAAAACAATGGAATGATAAATACTGAGGAATCTAAACAGATTCTAATTCATTATGCTGTACTTCTGGGAAACAGACTGTCTGGTCAAACAAAAATGCATTGCATAGGACACTTGGCTGTTTACATATTTAAGCTCTTTTTCAGGTCCAGTGCCGTGTGCACAGAGAGGTTTAGCTAAGTGTGAAAACTCTCTTTGGTACCTTTCAGAAAGCTCAACTGATGAAAACAGACCAGCGATTGTGACTGAGCATTTGAACCTTGTGATGCTGCCCTTTCGACGGATCCCACTGATTACACCTTCCATCCTCCTCTGCCCAGTTCCCACCCCATCTCACAGTGGCGGTGCTTGGAACAGGATTACTGCTAAAGTTCTCACAAGCAGCACACTTCAAAGCCTCTTTCTGAGAATTATTCTCTTTTCAGTTTTGAGGTTTTGCTCAAAGTTGAAACTTGTTGATGGTATACTACGATTCGATTCCTGTTGAAAATGCAGCTGATCAAGTAGATGACATAGGCTTTTCATTTTGGATTCTATAACCATCAATAAAACGATCTTTCTGGCTAATGAGGTCTCATTAATAGCAGGGTGTACAGCAGCGTGAAAGCTCTCTGTATCTGTATGCTTTTCCATGGAGGAGCTATTTCCTTTTTTTTTTTTTTTTTTTTTACTGTAGTAGGCATACAGCATATGATTTTTGTGACTGTTGTAACTAATGTATTGCTAGTGAAGGTTCTTGGTAAAGTGTCAGTGTGATTGCAATTTAGGTTTTATAATTTGTTTATTGTGTCCCTGGAGAGAATTATAATTATATTTATATAATAAAATCAATATATTTTTTTATTCACACACACACACACATACACATGGTTCACTGCAGGACTAGTGGTTAGGCCTCAGCACTCTCACCGCTGCAGCCCGGGTTCGACTCCTGGCCAGGGAACTGACCCCAGCCACTGCGGATGTGTGCAACAGTGTACTCTCAGTGCTGGTCCCAAGCCCAAATAAAATTGGGGAGGGTTGCATCAGGAAGGGCATCCTAAAAACCGTGCTAAAATCAAATACATGGAACAATGAGCCGCAGTGGCGACCCCTAACAGGAGCAGCCAAAAGAAGAGCAATTTGTTTCAATAATTGGTGCAGTATTTTCTTCCTGGTGAAATAACCCTGGAGCCTATCACCAAGAAAGACGAAATCTCTGTTTTAAAACTGTGGAGTAGTGAGAACACACGTGGGCTCACAATAATGATTGCGCTCTTCAGTATGTTGAACTTCAAAGATCTATTTTTATCTGAAAATGGAAGTAGTAGAGAACTCTTCAGCAGAGAACTCATCAGCAGAAAACTCTTCAGTAGAGAACTCATCAGCAGAGTTCTCTCCTGGTTAGTTGACTGGTTAGTAGGTTAGTGGACCATCAGTTAGTATAGTAGAGAACTCTTCAGTAGCTTAAACCCTGCTTTTTAAAATCATCCGGACAGCCATAATCCCATTAAACCGCATTCTACACATCTAGGGCTGGAAATGAGGTGTGTGTGTGTGTGTGTGTGTGTGTGTGTGTGTGTGTGTAAAACCCGCCTGAACAGATAACCCGCTTCCACTCAGCCATCTCATTTCTGCCCTTCACACCCGCCAGCACGCTGCTCCCACCCCTTCTCTACTCCTCAGCAGTCTCAGACCTGATAGCGCACCATCAGCGACCTGATCTCGCCGCTTCAGCGTCTCTACCCGGGACACGTCTGATTTCAGGATGGTCTGCGGATGAAGGACCACTAACCAGCGCGTGGTTAGTTTAGTGCACCAGCTCCAGCGCACTTCTCATTCATCACCTCTCTGTCCTTTTCTGTTCTGCTGAAGGCGAGCGTGTGAACGAATGAGCACACCAATCCGGAGTTAGTAATATGAACTTTCTGCCAAGTGGAATATGTTTATATCTGTCTGTGGCAACCTGCTGGTTCACATCAAGGGTCGACTCATCCTGGTGGTGGGTATCTCAGGAAGAGGAGCAAATTCTTTCCTCTTACTGTGTGCATTTTACTCACTGCATGCACTAAACTATCCGCTGATCCACCTTTCCCTGTGTCTGGGGTACTACTTTCATCTTTACTGTCTCTTTCATGTGCAGATGTGGAGCGTGATTATGTTTTAGAGTAATGCACTTTCATCCCTGTAAAGTCTGTTCCTCTCAGTTACAGAGTCTTATCACTGTGCGTTTGTATTGTTATCATTTGCCAGCATGGAGCGCTTATTTCAAGACTAGCTTTTCAGGAAGATATGGATGTATAATGTGCATTGTGCTCGCAGGTACATGGGTACGCTGGGCTCGCAGGTGATGTGCGACAACATCCCGGGTCTGGTGAGTAAACAGCGGCAGATGTGCAGGCAGCATCCCGGGGTCATGCAGGCGATCAGCGGCGGAGTGAGCGAGTGGATCAGCGAGTGCCAGCACCAGTTCCGCCATCACCGCTGGAACTGCAACACTGTGGCCAGAGACCATAGTGTGTTCGGCAAACTCCTGCACCGCAGTGAGTACACACACATACACACACACACACATACATGCACGCACAGACGCACACATATACACACACGCACGCACAGACGCACACACACTTACACACACACGCACACATATACACGCACGCACATACGCACACACACACACACATACATACGTACACACACACGCACGCACACACACGCATGCACACATACGCATACGTACGCACACACACATACATATGCACATACACACACACACACGCACGCACACATACGCATACATACGCACACACATACATACGTACACTCACACACACACATGCACATATACACACACACGCACGCACACATACGCATACATATGCACACACACACATACATACGTACACACACTCGCACACACACGCACGCAAACCAAAAGAAAACTCCGCTGTGTAGCTCAGACATTTGCAATCCCACCGTTTAAAGCTATTATGTAGAGCTGTTCTGAGCTCCAGTCCTGCTCTGGATTAGACTACATCAGTTTAAACACATAAATCCTTCATTATCTCATGTGTAAAGTCTTCATTAGCCTTGCTTACCAGGAATCCTATCAACATTATTAGGTATTGTTTTACCTATTCAGTGCCACTAATGTCTTAGCTCCTTAAACAAAACTAGTAGCCTAATTTAAAATGAATGTTACAGCTTTGACCTGAGGCTCGTAAATCCATAACCACTCCATCAACAGGCTCTGAGGTGGACTTCACACGGAGTTAGTCTGGCATTTACAGAGGAATCAGATCAGAGCTGTTTTCCAATAACATTCTCAAATAGAAAGGAAATTTTCCTCGGCTTCCTATATATCAATTCTGTCAGACAATTAATACACATTTTGTGACTAGTAATGGGGTGAAGGAAACCCATCTCAGGATATATCTCAAGCTTCACGCATGCATTAGCTTCAGAAGTTAAATATCCATGTGAACGGAAACCAGAAACAACTGTACGCTTTTCTTGTGTTTATTCAGCAGACTTCTGGAAAGAAACATCATTGATTTTTCAAACTTTCCAAAAAATTATTTGATTTTGATGCATTTTTCTCATTTTTTTTTTTCTCTCTTGGTGATTCCATAAGATTTAATATCTCCGTTGGGGGAATTTCACTTGCATAAAGCCAAAATAACCTCCTCCAAACCTAATCTTAGATTATTTATTGTACATTTAAAGCTGCTTCATGACTCCCTTTAAAGCTGCTTAATCATGACTAACATCAGTTACAACAAAACAACTTCTAAAAGATCTCTTCTACCTGATAAGGTTATGAAATTTAAGTGAACCAATACATTTTTTTTTATACATTTCTTTATGATTATTGATTTGATGTAGGATAACCTATTGAATGTGTTTCTGTAATATGATGTCTTCTCCCCTGTACTCTTTTCTTTGGAGTTGATGTATGTAAGCTATTATGTGATCTGCTCATAGTGATTCTGAGATAATTCTAGTTAAAAAATAAAAATAATTACATGGAGGAATCACGTTAAACAATAATAATTAAGGTGTGCAGGCTTTTTAATAATAGAATTGATATTAATTGCAAATAAAATAAAATGTAATATAGCCATATTTTCACATGGCATGCATTATTTTAAAATAAGCGAGCTCAGTGTAGAAGTGGACAGTTAACCCGTGCGACTTTTTCGGAAATAGTCTGACTGACTTAGCCATACTAAGTCGTGTTTTTATAATATTTAAAAGGACTGTTTTTTCCTGATTAATAATGCTACAATTGAACACTGCAGCATAGCCTAACAGCAGCAAAATAATGTTCCAGTAAAGGGTTAACAGTAGCACGGTTGACAGACACAACTAGTGTACAACAGTGTTTTTTTTAAACCTAAATTCTTGTTTTATTGCCATCAGTTTTGCTATAACACCAACTGAAAATATTTCGTGACTACAAAACTCACTAAAAATGTTTGTGCCTGTGTATGCCGGTGGTACGAGTGTCCATTCAAGATGCATATTCGTACACTGTTTCTAGAATTGCCTAAGACACCTAATTAAACTGTTGAGCTAAATAATACCATTGGGACTGCACTGACTCTGCACCCACAGTGACATTCCTCATCCATAATCATGGGTCATGGGTCTATTACAGAAATGCTAACACCTGATATAGCAGATTAAATGTCTTTTGTTTGCTGCATGGAGCACTCCTCAGTTAATCAGTCTTCTGCCTCTGAAAACAGATAGTTGATATAAATCATCCCTTTATGAAGGTAGTGTGCTTAGTCAAGCACATATATATAAATAAACGTGTGTAGGTTGATCCTATAATCCGTGTGTTTTGTGAATTTCTGTGCAGCTCTTTATAAACGTGTATGGAAAAAATACCCAGTGCATGACATGAGGTTTAGGTAGTTCTTTCTCTAGTCTCCTGTTGTAAAATCATATTAATGGGAACATCCATATAGACACTCAGGGCCAGTCTCCCAGGCCCTTTCAGCTGGTCTACACATTGAAGTTAAGTTAAGTCTCTGTCTTTAATCTTTCCCTTTGGTATTCAGACCTCCCAGAAAGGCCACAGACCCATCATAGGGCATTATAGGGAGGGTTTCTCAGTGGCACTGTGAGAATCTACTTAATGTCAATGTCAGTGCACTAATTTAGGACAATTGCGGGGATTTTGGCGCAGATCTTCCCTTATACTGACAAAGCTCCCAAATGAAAAGCTAAAGCTCATAACCCCTGCTCCTGTTGCACTGCTGTTCTGCTGAATTGGTTGCTTTTGTTCTTACTCTCTCTCTCTCTCTCTCTCTCATATGCACTCACAAAACATTAATGTTACTTATTCAGTCGCTCCTCTCACATACACACAAAGATCACTCTCACTCATGATCCACATCCTGATCTTTTGGATTTAGAGAGTCTTTGATCCTAAAACAGAAAAAAAAAAAAAAATACATGACATGTTTGAAGACAAACCAATAGCAAGTGTTCTTTCGGAAGCTTCTCTACTGTTTGGCAGGTGTTGAGTCTGTGCTTGTCAAACACCAATATTTGTCAGTTGATTGAATATACTAGTTTTCTACATTTTAGTTTTCACATTTCATCTGTGCGTATGCTCAGGCAGTCGTGAGGCTGCCTTTGTGTACGCCATCTCCTCAGCAGGCATGGTCCACACGCTGACCAGAGCCTGTAGTCAGGGCGAGCTGGACTCTTGCTCCTGCGACCCAGGAAAAAAGGGCTCATCACATGATGCCAAAGGACCCTTTGATTGGGGCGGCTGTAGTGACCATGTGGACCACGCCATCAAGTTCACCCAGGCGTTTGTTGACGCCAAGGAGAAGAAGGAGAGGGATGCACGAGCACTCATGAACCTGCACAACAATCGTGCAGGAAGGAGGGTAATTGTTTATGGCTTTATTCATACGAGCAATGCCTGCTGGTGGTATCAGC